TACTTACACATCACAGCTATTTCCTTGTGTGTTCACACCCACCTGGAAATTTAAACATAAATTGTGATTCAGATTTTTCAAGCAAAAATCGAAACAGGTATTTTTTTTATTCTTTTCTGATATTTCACAGCCTCAAAATATTTCTTTATCATCAGTTGACGTCCACATTGATTCAGTGTTTGGGCTGTAAAATGCCAGAAAAGAGTCAGAGACCAGTTTTTCAAGCTTTTTTAAAAATTCTGCATGAAAAATTAATAATTCTATACATTAATATTGTTTGGTAATTGATCCACTGCTTCTCTGATCTTTTATATTTAATAACTTTACACCGTAAATACTATGAATCCTATTTTATCAAGACAAACTTTGTTCCCACATACGGTAAATAAAGATTTGTGAATCTGTTTCTTCCTTCTCTTCTCAACAGCCTCATTTCATATTTCATGGATGGAGACTGGAGGGGAGCCACAATAGAAGTCTGTGGTGAGGCTCAGTTTTATGTCCTAACCTGGATTTGTATGTATTTGAAGTTTTCTTAAACACGCACACGGAGCGAACAGAAACAGTTGCACCGACATGTATCTGAAATCAGTCACACACACACGCGGTCGTCCAAGCTGCACGGGGCCTGTTTGATAACCCTGCAGCGGTAATGCTTGATGTTGGAGGGGAAGGGGCTGGGGGAGGTCTGGGAGATTGGCTTTGCACGGACGCCTTGTGACTTTAAGATCCTATTTGGCCCACTGGCTTAAAATCTGAAAAAAGGAAATCTTGGTACTAAGGTGCTTTTGACCAGATAAGTCAAGCTGGGTGTGAATTTATATTCGGAGCCACAGACTCGGCGAAATTTCTCACTTCTCTAAACACTGAAGCTTCGTCTCTGACGCTGAACAGAAACGAGCTCAGTGAGGTCGACGACTGGAAAATACGTGAGGTGGACGCAGTATCATGAGCACCTGTATAATCTGATGCAGTCCAACAGCTCCGGAATGAATTTTACAAGTGAGAAGCATTTCAAGTGTTTCCTGATCAAATCCGGTCGAGTTTCTAATATTTGTGACGACTTCTATTCGATTGTGAAGAGTTTTATTGTCCCAAATGGTAATTATGAAAACTTTTATTGTGTATAAATGTCGTATTTATTGCACAGCATGTGTGTCTGATTGTGACTGGGTGATGATTCGACCGGCTCAGAGAATCTCACCTAGATTTCTTGTGCGTTCGTCCCTCAGCTGCCTTCGTTATTGTCCCGGTGTTGGTTTGGATCATGACGATGACGAAGAACATCGGTTCAGCGCCGGCGAAGACAGAGGAAGTGAAAACAAACCGTTTTTTCATCCAACACATTTAATTAAAGGCAACGTCGCTGCGTAGACACAAGAGAGATGCTCTGCCATGAAAACAGGACGGGGTGTAAAACGTCTTCTCACTGTCGCTCAGAGAACTGACGTCAAAAATGGGTTTGTGTAAATTTACACTTGATGATAGTTTTGCTTTACATTTCCATCCTGCTCTTGAAGAGTGAATTTCATGTCAGGTAAAAAAAAAATACCATGAATATTTCCCATGATTCTTTCTTTCCCCAGTAAAAGATATTCAGGTGTTTTTGTGCTTTTTAAATCAACCACTTCATGAACTGATACCAAACCACTGTGTTACTGATGATTTGCTTTTTAAAAATCACTTTTATTCATTTCATTTCAATTAAATACACTATGCAATGTTGCTGACGAAATATTAAAAAACACTGCTGTGTTTTATGCATTTTCACTGAAAGAAAAAATATAATTTTAATATAAGATAAGTGCTGAAATTGAAAAGTGAACACACACGTGTCAGTTTACTTTTGGATTTTTTTTTGTAACAACGCAGCTTTAAACAGGGAACATGAAAGATCCCAGCCACATGCAGATGTAGTAAAATATTTTCTTGGAATAATTCCTGAAATCTGACGCAAAGAAAACGTGTGAGATCTCAAAAAAAAAAGGAAATGTGTCTGTTCACATGGTTTAATTCTGGATGTAGATTTCCATCAGTGCTTTGTGAAGCACTGAGGTTCATTTTTTTATAAGTAAAAACAATGAATAAAGTGAATGTCACAGATCGTCCTCTGCTTCATGTGTTACTGCGACACACAAACACAGAGGAAGAGAGAGAGACAGATGGAGGGAGAGAGAAAGAGACAGCGACCACATACAACACCATTCATTATTAACACACCCAATATAGCAGGACTGGACACCTCTCTCCTCCACCCGCCCCCTCCGCCTATTAACACGCACACACACACACACACACAGAATGGGAGAGCCCTCCAGGACCCTCCCCCTGACCCTGCGACCTAGGCGTCATGGTAACCCTCTGACCCATCCTGCTGTTGCTGTGGTAACAACCTTGGAGCATGTCTGACCACTGCCCCCCCCCCCAAACACACGCACACAGACACACACACACACACCCTATAGCCCTACAGCTGCCCCCCTCCTCCTGCTCCACGCCGAGCCGAGGCAAACCGATCGATATTCTATCACACAGAACAGTGGAGCGAGAGAGAGGAGGCCACGGGCCAGCCAGATTACTGGGAGGAGGGGGGGTAGGGGGAAAATGGAGGGGCGGCTGTTCGTGGTTGACAAAAAGAGAGTGTGTGTGTGT